CACGGAAGGGCTGAAAAAGCAGGGTAAAATAATATAAGAATATGATATGAAAAGGGCTGTAATTTTTTTATTGGTATATCAATTATCATTTGTCTTATATGAATTCAAACATCTGTCTGTATTGATTAATATTTGACATCAATCTTAAATTTATCAAGCATTGTTAGCGAAAAACAGAGTTACATTTACCAAGATGCATGGTCAAATTAGGTTAAAATATTGCCTATTCCTTGCACAAAGTCTCACACTTCTGCTTCCACTGTGAAAAAATTACCCATCAAATTTCTTTTTTTATTGCATATTATAGATAGCCTATAAGTGTCTTAAATTTTAGAAAAAAATCATACTACATAATGGGGTTTAAATTCAACCTGGAACAAGTTTATTATCTTATACCCTACCCTACCCCCTTCCTTTAGAAGGTTGCAATTTTGAAGAATATGGTGACTAAGAGAGATTATCAAGAATTTATCAAAATATTTCACAGAAAATTAATAAATTCATTGTAACATTCTTCTAAATTACATTTTGTATCATAAAAACAATTTATACATGTACACCTAGACACATGTTGCCCTGGTTGACCTTTTTGCACTTAAATTAAAAAAGATAAGTTTTCCTTATATCGTTCAAACTGACCTTAATAGATAGAATATTTAATCAAAGTATTTCAAAGAAAATGAGTTAAATTCCAAGTATTATTCTTCTAAATTACATTCTATATCACAGAAAACAATTTATACAAGTACACCTGTACTTACGTTGCCCTCCTTGACCTTTTTGCACTAATATTAAAAAAGATAAGATCTTTCCTTGATACCATTCAAATTGACTTTGTAGATTTATTATACATATGATTCTGGGATGAATTATCAATAAAAATATGTTTTGACTAATTCTGTGCATAAGTAAACTGGTTTTTTTTATCTTCCTTTGACAAAAATAGCATGATTAATTTCACTTTTCTTTCAACAATTCCTTTTTTATTCCAAATACATGTACACATGTACAACATAAATAAGAAAACCCAGTGATAATGAAATTTTGAACACAGAATCAATCCACAACATGATATCCTTGTTTTAACAAGAGGCCCATGGGCCTTATAGGTCACCTGAGCATCAAGCAACAACTTTTCAACAATGCATTGAATTTGGTTCATATATTTAACCAGAGGCCATGGCATACACAATTTTGAAAGAGGTGCCATTGCTCATCATAACTATACACTTAGCATGCTATGTTTAGTTATTTAATACCCTTAGGCAGAGTAGAGAAAAAACACATTTCAACTAGTCAGTAATATTCAGCAATAATCAGAAATGCCCTGACCCACAGGAATTCCTGACCCTGGGTTCACACATGCACAATTTTGGAAAAAAGCACCCTTTCTGATCAGAAATGTTTAAAGGCATTAATTCATTTTCAAAATATAATAAGAGCCCCTTCCTCTATGTTATCCTTAACCCACATGACCCAGGGGCCTTGAAATTCACAATTCTGAAAGAAGTTCCATTGACTTGCATTTGTAAAGATTTAAATCTTCAATTTGTACTCATTTTGTAGGTATGAACTTTTTATATATATCTTAATGTGTTTTGTGCAATTTATTAAATAAGCTGCAATAATGTAGCCCTCTCCGATCTTTTAATCTGATATTTTCTGGATACCTCTTCCCTCCTCCCCTCAAAAAAAAGGGAGAGGGCTACATTTTTGCAGCTAAATTTAAATATGCATACTTTAAAAAATAAACTGTGATATGTGATCCATGATATACTGTTAATTAATCCTTTCCTTTCCTATTCCTGAAAAACTAGTGCAATAAAAGTGGACACATACAAAACAAATTATATCAGATTTATTGAGGTTTAAATTCATTCAGTATATAATGAACTACAAGTAAACTATAAAGACATTTATATTAATTAATCAAGTTCTTCATCATAACAGCAGTTTGCAATAAAACGTCTCAATCTTGAATCATAAAATATATCTATGTGCATATAATATACATTGTGGTACTCTATATATTGGTCACATATAAAATGAATATTAAACAAGCTAGTGTACAACACTCACTAATATATCATCATGTCATATTTAAAACTTCTGCATTCAATAGTTGTGTCCAAAAGCAATGTGTTTAACATTTCATAGAGTGTTATGATTTAAATTATTTCATTTAGTTTTGAAAGGTAAAAGGACTTGATTGGTAAAAACGTTTTGCAAATGTCTGAAATTTTACCATAAAAAAAAAATTCGAAGCAATTTTCACTTTTATTTATATATCATCTGAAAGAAGCAAGGTTTACCTCCCTTTACGGGCTGGCCAGTGACCCTTTCTTTCGAAACTACTTACCTTCAAAAAGTGTTGCTTCATGTAGGTAATTTCAGACACTTACAACATTAAAACAGATATTTTGAAATCTAACTTGATAAATTTGAGTCCATTACACTGTAGTAAGGTTTGGGGCATGAACATGCACATTGGTCCCCTTAGCATATTTTATACAAATACATTTCACTGTTTTTGGACATCTTCACATGATGTAAAAAAAATTTAACCATAGAGTTATTCAAGTTTTTCACAATATTATGAAAAGACTGTATTGAACCAACAAATTTAATGCAACATGATAAGAAGAAAAATATTTGAAATTATAATATTGTTTAAACCATCTTGCTCTGGCAATAGCCCATACCAAAAAAAAGTTATAACCAAGTTATAACTAAAGTATATAACTTAGTTATACCTAGGCTCTGAGGTACAAAAAAGTTATAACTATAATGTAACCTTTTATGGAATTTGCCATTTTCATATACATGTATAACTAAAACATAACTTTTCTAGGCTTCGTCATTTTCATGTACAACTAAAATGTAACTTTTTGGACTTAGCTATTTTCATATGTAACTAAAACATAACTTTTCTGGACTTCGTCATTTTTATGCATAACTAAAAATGTAACTTTCTTAGCCTTAGCTCGCATTTCAAAGCATTGCAGAAACAAAAGAAAACAAAAAAGTTGCATAAATATTTCCTACATCATTAAATGTATATACTGGACTATCTGATTTAGTAATTCAACTTTAAAAAAGGAACTCATATTTTTCATATTTCAAAGAAACAGCTGCATTCATTAATTCATTTTTAGAACAACTTTTTTAACCTTATACACCGAAAACGAAAAGAAAGATTAAAAGTTGTTCATATAATGAGATACAAAGGCAATATGCGGTTTCATGATCATAAAAACGGTTCCAATATTAGACTCCGTTAAGTCTAAATTTAAGTCTTTATAGAATGAATATTACAGTGTATATACTAGCTGACACTTGAAAAATTACTTCTAATATGAATTAATAAAAATTGTTAAAACAAATAACAAACTTAAGGATAAATAATAAAAACTTTTTTCTTCAAAAATTCAATTATCTCAGGTGTTTCTCTCTTTTTTGATGAGATATTTGTTTACTTGAACAACAAATGTTTGGCCAAGCAACATAATTTGGTGAAAAATAGGAGAAATGCAACTTAACTGATCAATAAGTTTTTAATTTCATTTCCATTGAAAGGAATATTGAAAAAAACTATCAATGTAACTCTTCTCTGTGGGAGATTAAAACAAAATTGTTCATGGTATGTATCCTTAAAGAAACAATTAGACTGTTTCTGAGGGTGAATGTGGTACTAATACAATGTACTACATTTATCAAAATTAAAAAATTCAAAATTGTCCATGTCGAGTTTAGTAACAGTTCAGTATTAACAATAAATAATAAATAAAACTTAAACTAAATAACATATGTTTTCTTAAATATGAATTTGAATAACAGAATATGTAGACACTTTTGTTTTACATGTAACACAATGAATTAGCAAAAAAATTGATTAACATTTTTATAAATAATAGAGCTCAAGAGTATTAAAGTCTTTTCAGAAACAGAATGTTCATTTAAACATTTTAGATGTCCACTGGAGCAAATGTTTGTTTTCAGGGAGAAAACCATATTCTGGATATTTACAATGTCTTTGCAGATCGAGATACTGATAGTCACTTGTTATATTGGGTTACAAAGTAAGCAATTACTTTTATGAAAGTAGAGAAATATAAATATCATAATAATTGCATAGTTAATCATCATTGTATAATAGCTAATAAATACTTAGGTATAATACAACAAGTACAAGAATGCTTTCTATTATATCTACAAAAATTGAAAATTTAAATGCCCATGAGATGAAATGTTAATTGTTAAACTGTACAAAAAGATACATGTAGTACATTAAAATACACAAAATATGTAATATTGTAACGAGTAAAAATTAAGAAAATAAAAAATATGAGAAAGAAGTTATATTTGATTAATTGTATATTCATTCAGACTTAATGGATCAATCACACAATGCAACACAGAAAAACATGGTATAAAAAATAATTATCAATCAAATCTTGCAAACATATATCCATATATCATTCTTATTCAAAATCATAGGTATACATATTTCACTTAAAGTATGTTAATTTGGTTATTATTGAACTTTTGACATGTGAATTTGCAATCTGTTAGGTATAAAATTACCTCCTATACCAAATATGTAACACAGTTTTACAATGCCAGTGGTTTTAATATTGTGGATTAACAATAAATAAAAAGTAGACAGTACAAACTTTCATAAATAAACAAGATAATTTCATCTCATGGGCATTTTAATCTAAATCTATTTTTGTCCCAATAACTTCCAAATAAAGAAAAAGTTAATCAATGTGATTTTAAATACATTTATTATATATATGAAACATACTGAAAGTTATTGGGACAAATAAGGTAGTTGATGAGTGGCAACCCTGATTTTGTCCAACCACTCTTGGCAGTTTGTAAATATTTAGCTTCCATTGGAAACTAAATATTTACATACTGCCTGTTTTGTGCTCGAGCGGGTTTTGTTTTACTATGCAATGTAATTAAAATGTAGTTCTGTCATTAGAATAGTTTGCTTAAGTCATATCTGCAGCACAATAAATCATATTATGGTCAGACCAATAAGCCTGAAGAACATCTGTTTGTAAATCCATAAAGTTGGTAAATATTAGGTCTAACTGTGTCTTATTCTTTGTGGTTACCTTGTTTATGATTTGCACACAACCAAATGTTTCTTTCATAAAGTTCAGGAAATGTGCATACTGACCAGTACTTAAATCCAAATTGAAATCTCCCATTATCACAGTCTTTTCATCTTTGTCAACAGATGGTAGCAACCTTTTTTTCAAGGTATCATAAAAAAGTTGAAGAGTACAAGAAGGCTGTTTGTATAAAACAACACACTGTATTGGAGTATTGGACAGCATAATTGAAATGATGGAAAATTCCACAGACTTGGAAGTAAAAGAGTTGTATGAAACACACTGTAATTGATTTCTCAGATATATGACAATACCATGATGTGGTCTGCACTGGGAAGAACTTGCATCATTCCTGAACATTGTAAAACCCTCTAAAGTAAAGTCTTCATCATAATCCAATTCACAAAGCCAAGATTCAGCTATACCAATAACATCTGCAGCCAAAACACTTGGTTCTGATTTTATATCAAGGAAGTGCTTGTGTAGAGATCTGGCATTGTTGAATAAAAATTTTATGTCTTTAAATACCGAGTATAGTGGTGTATATGAGAGTTGCAATCTATTTTCTCTTAACCTGTCCATCTCTTTATCAACAGTTTCATCTTTTGAAAGACTTTTTTCATTGAAATCCAGAATGAACAGACCATCAAGTGACCTTACTCTTGAGAGTGCAACATAATGTATATGCGGGATTCTGCGCTGCTTTGTCTGTCCTAAGCTGATTACTGCCTTTGAAAGAGTTGCTCCTTGTGCTTTGTGGATTGTTTTACCAGCAGATGGTTGCAGTGGAAACTGAACTCTCTCATATGTCTTTCTGTTATAAACAAATGTTCTTTTAGCTTCAAATATGGGAGTCCATGCAAAATTAACATTTGTGGAAAACAAATGCCTGTATTGATGTCTTCGTGAAATACCTATACTTGAATCAGCAAACAGTACCCATACTATGGCAGGTCTGAATTGTGATTGTTTATATTCAATGTATTTCACAACACATGAAGCACCATTTGTCAAACCGTCTGTAACATCAAGATTTACTGATATGTCATAGAGCATATCTACAGCAATAACCAAATTAGTTCTTAATTGTCCTGTAGATGCTGGGTTTTCAGGCAAGTTTTGAACTAGTTTCAATTTCACTGATGCAGAAAGTTTTGTCTGTGATAACACATCTGTGTCTGCTTTTACATTTACTTTATTCGTTGAAAGGTTTTCTATAAGATTGTTATTAAAACAATCAACAAACTTGTTCTCAATAAACAGATGAGGTGCCTCCTTAGGATAGTCTTGAGAGTCTTGCCTGATGAAACGTTGAGAAATGAGTTCTTTGTCTTCATCTGTCATCTTGTTTTCACGAAGTCTATTTAACATTTCTGCAAATCTAAGGTCATCCTTTTGTCTCATAATTTCAGTTAGTTCATGCATATAGAAATGTTCATGCCACAAATTGTTTGCTAAACTCTGACCAGGATTAGAAAGGTCTTTGAAAATCCACTTGTCTCCAACAGGTGGCAACTGATACAAATCACCAACAGCTATGATACTAATACCACCAAAGTCTTGTTTTCTCCCAGTAAGTTGTTGAAGTCTATCATTTATAAATGACAGCATATTATTGCCTACCATTGAAATTTCATCGATTATCACAACAGACAAATTCTGGTACTTTGCCCTAAATGAGTTCAGTTCATCTGCACTCATGTGCTGCTGAGTTTGATACATTTTTCTGTGAAAAGCTGATGATATAGTAGTCCCTTTGATGTTGTATGCAGCTTTGCCAGTGTGAGCACAAAGTAATATTCTAATATCATCAGGGTTTTCACCTTCTTTTGAGTACAATATTCTGTGTAATGTTTGAAAAATGGCATCAATAACCACTGATTTTCCTGCTCCTGCACCACCAGTTAGAAAAGCATATAATGGTTCACCTCTGGTTTGAATCCAGTTTGTTACATGATTGTAAAATTCCCTCTGCTTTGTATTCAGGGATTGCAAAAGTTTATAATACTGCTCATCAGGAATGCGGACAGCACTCATTTCTGTTTCAGTTACTTTTGAGGACAATCCAAGTTCTGGCCCAATATCAAAATCTCTATGTTGAACTGTATCAGGATCAAAATGAACAAATTCCTCGGATGGTTCAGAACCTATCTCTGAATCTTCTGCCTCAGTATGTTCTGTATTTGGTGCTACTATCTCCAGATCATCAAGATCTTCTTCAGCTTGAAGTCGAGCTTGTTCTAATTCATCCACAAATGCTCATACTGTCTTTGTTTCACTTGTATCATACATGCTTCTGCTTGTAGTGCTGTTCATAAGTTTGATGACTACCAAGTAGGTCAGCATTCTCATTTCTCCATGGCAGAAAGAGAAGAATTCTTTCTCTGTAATACTGTTCAGAATTTGTTTTTTGGCTGTAGCCTACATATCTAATAACTCGTTTGTTTTTTCGTCTCCTGATCTTAATTCCATTTTTCAAATGAACTAACACATCCTGATCAGTAAACTTCTCTTGCGAATTATCTTCTGGGTTATCATCATTCAATTCCTCTTGTATGTCTTTTCTGATTTCTTTTGGGAAAGTCACTTCCAATTCAGAAACAACATCAGCTAAACACCAATTTTCTAACTGTTTTGGTCTTCTTGCATACCTTTGAATCATACTATCTGCCTTAATATCAGTTGAATCCTTGGGTAACTCATTCAGTTCATCTTGATGTTTGAGTAAGAAAACTCTGTCTTCAGGTGGCGAGGTATTGATAAAAACAACTTCTCTACTGGCTTGTGCAAGTGGCATCTGAAGGATTAAGTAACTTGCCTCTTGTGCACTGACCTCAACAAAATTTAAGAACTTGTTTCCAATATGTCGAACTTGTCGCTTAAGATCCATATTTCCTTCTGCAGCTTCTTGAGATGCCTTATCTAGCATTGCACTGATTCCTCTCTGAGATTTGCTGATATATGCAACAATGTATGTGGCACAGGCATAAGGATCAAGTACAAACTGAATATCTAAGTTAGCATTCCAGGCCTTTAACACTGATGAATTATAGTAATTCACTCTCATCTCAGATGGACTTCTTTTCAGAAACATTTTGGGACCTTTCAAGGAAGCTCGAATACATTTTATATACTCATCTTCGCACATTTCTACAACAGTCTCTAAGAAGGACTCATAGTCTAAACTACAACCATCTTTGTAATCATTCATTTTCTTCTGAATATCAGAATATATCTTTCTATAATGGTCAACGTCAACATCCAAGGGTTCAAGAAGCATGGTCTTGGGCAAAGGTGGCAACGGAAAACCGAATCTGCATACAGATCTACCTCCTTTTTTGCAAGTTTTTGAGTGTTTATGTACTTGAAGATCTACAAGCTGCTTCATTTGAGAATCATTTTCCTGCAAACCACATGTGACATACTTATCTACATAAGCTTCTATTTCCTCATTGCTATTTTCTTTGTGCTTTGGAGCATCACTTGTCCATACCAGCATATGAATATGTGGCGAACCTCGGTTTTGGAATTCTACCCTTCGAAACACATCAGTGACAACACCTAGAGGATTGTGAGGACTTTTAAGAACAGTATTGATGAAAAGTTGAACTCTGTTGTCAAAGAATCTTGCACATGTCACTGGATCTTGTTTAACTAGTTTTGATTTATCATTCCAATTCAAATCGTCTAGTTCTTCTTGTGACAGGGTTTTTCCATCTAGTGTTGCCAATGTTTTCAACAGATCTTGCCATCTGGTATCAGCTGATGAAAGTGAAATAAACCAAGTTGGAAGACCTAACTGCCTAATCATGGCAAATACATCCTTCTTTTTAGATGAAAGATATGCAGGAGAATTTCGAAGTGTTCTAAATATATAATACCCTTCATTTAATCTGACAATTTTTTCTGCAGAGGATGGATTCAAAACTTGTTCTGCAGTGATTTTCTTACCGTCTGATTTACATCTTCTTAGTGCCAAATTAACTTTGTCACTAACTTGCTTAATTTGAATTTTCTTCAACTTAAAAAAGATGTTGGGTACAGATTGTGCTGCCCGTCTGTCAACACTGCGCAACTCCCATTTTGCAATATCACTGTAGTGTACTGGAACTTCTCTATCCTCATTTTCAATTCTGCACTGACCACAAAATATTGTTGGAAAACATAGATATTCTGCATCTTTATCTGTAAATAAACTTATTGGTTTTTGGTTTTCTCCAGGAGCAAACACATAGAGTTTATTTGTATCAATGTCTGCTTCATCAACAAGTGTATCAGAATTGCCCTGAATGCAGTCATCTGAAGTAATTTCACAAAAACCATCATCATTACTTTCTGATTCACGATCATCACTATCATTTGAACTGCCCATCAGTTCTTGTACTGTTTCCTCATTACTTTTTTCAATTTCGTTTCTCCAAGAATGATCTAACACTATACCAGAATCTTTATATAATGCACTATTTTTCATAAGCCATTGTAAAGCATTCATCACCATATTTGGGCGAACATTTTCTGTGAAGCATGCTGATTTGTGAGATAATCTTTTCTTTAATTTTACAGCTATAGTTACATGCTCATCTATTTGTCGTGGAAGGGCATTCACAGTTGCGGCTGAATATCAACTGGAACATTTACAACATTTCCTTTGACTGACATCTGACCTCCTCTTGGTAATTCTCTTATTTGCATAAATGGTATGCGTTGAGATATCAACCTCTCTTCCAGTGGATGTAATTTCAAAGCATCTGGTTGGTCCGGCCATTTCATTCCATTTCTAACTGAAAGTTTTGGAATTTTCTCATCTTTCAAAGCTGAACAGCAAGTTAAACATAGCCATTCTATGCCATCTACTGATGTAAATCCAGTACAAATACTTTTACTACTAACACTAAGATTAGTTGTATTTAGCTTCACAACACTTTTCCGAAACCAAGTCTGATGACAACATGTACACACATAAATTGGACCAATTTTCACTTCTTCATGAAATTTCTCTATACAATCTTCCAACGATTGACCATGACACCTTTTCTTTAATAAATTGTTTTCATGGTCTGTGAATTCTGCATCAAGCCTCCTTTTAGCTTTAGATACTCTTTCACTCTCTCTTTCTTTTTCTCTGTTATTTTTTCTACTTTCTTGTTTAAATAGCCGTTCTTTCTCAAGCTGCTGTACATTATCTCTTTTCTTTTGTTTTGCTTCTCTTTCTTTATTACAGAATCCTGTACTTTGCCTTGCCTTATTCATACTTTTTAATGTACGTTCTCTTTCCTTCTGCTTTGTTTCAGAATTTTCTCTTTCAGTTTTTTTAAAAGCAAGTTCTTTCTCTTTAAATTCTTTACTTTGTCTTGCCTTGTTCATACTTTTTAATGTACGTTCTCTTTCCTTGAGCTTTGTTTCAGGATTTTCTCTTACAGTTTTTTTGGAAGCAAGTTCTTTCTCTTTAAATTCTTTACTTTGTCTTGCCTTGTTCATACTTTTTAATGTACGTTCTCTTTCCTTCTGCTTTGTTTCAGGATTTTTTCTGATATTTCTCATGGAAGCAAGTTCTTTCTCTTTAAATTCTTTACTTTGTCTTGCCTTGTTCATACTTTTTAATGTACGGTCTCTTTCCTTCTGATTTGTCTCAGGATTTTCTCTTACAGTTTTTTTGGAAGCAAGTTCTTTCTCTTTAAATTCTTTACTTTGTCTTGCTTTTGTCATACTTCTTAAGGTACTTTCTTTGTCTTTCTGTTTAATCTGTGAGTTTTCCCTCCTTTTTTGCATATAGTTTCTCATATAATCATTTCGATTTCCTTGTGACGATTCAGAAAAGGTACACTTTCTAGACATGTTCCCTTGAAACTCAAAATACTTGTCAATTAAGGAAAGTCTCTCACTTCCTAAAATGGACACATTTGTTTTCTGTTTTACAGACACCGGCTGAATCTCAAACTGGCTCACCATTGAAATATTGCAACTTTGATAAAATGCAAACATGTAGTCCACAAGTTGATCAATGTCACTAAAAGTGATTTTAATAGCCCTACCATCAGCACATGAAAGGCCGTCCTCTCCATGAGAATGTGAATCAAAAAATACAGGACAGTTCTTGTCATTCACATATATTGCAGAGCAAATTCCTCCAACTATAATTAATCCCTGATTATACCTCGTAAAGAGCAGCTCAATACCTTCCTTCAAATTATTACTTTGGCATGACTGATCCCAATCTACATGAGTTACTGTTCCATAGATCTGTTCAAAATAGCTTATTTCATACTGGTTGTCATGCAAGTAAACAGACTTAGGAAGTTCTTGAAATTGAAGCATTTTTGAAACAAATTGGACAGTTGATTGCAATTCTGCAATTCTGACTCTAAATAAATCATCCCCAGCAAAGAGCACCTTATCGAGTTCTGTTGAAGTGGATGCATTTTGCAAAATGATAGACATCAAAGCATTGCATGTGCACTGAACTCCTCTAGAAAAAGATGGAAATAAATTATTTGCTTGATTAATTGTTCCAAATAATCTAATGCCCAAAGGCAAACTGGCAATGTTACTGGTGCTCAAAGGCAAATTTGCAATGTTATTCACACCCGAAGGTAAATTTTTAAGGTTTGTAGAGCCCAAAGGCAAATTTGCAATGTCATTCACACCCGAAGGTAAATTTTCAATGTTTGTGGCGCCCGAAGGCAAATTTGCAATGTTTGTGGTGCCCGAAGGCAAATTTTCAATGTTTGTGGCGCCCGAAGGCAAATTTGCAATGTTATTCGTGCCCGAAGGCAAATTTTCAATGTTTGTGGCGCCCGAAGGCAAATTTGCACTGTTATTCGTGCCCGAAGGCAAATCTTGTACTCTTTTTAAGGAGGCAGTATCCCCCCAGTCTTTAGCACTATTTTTTACGTGGCTAGCTTCCACGAGTCTCAAAGGTCCGTCAACTGTTACGTTAATCGTTGGGTCCTTCGTACTATTTTTTACGTGGCTAGTATCCACGAGTCTATTGTCATTGCTGGCACGACTCTGGTTCCCAATCTTCGCCACTGCAACCCGCCAGTTCTTCTTACGTGGCATGATACCAGGTTTCTGCAAAATACATAAAACAACTAGTAATTCAATCAGTATTGTTTGAATTAATATATACACCTATTTCTTTTACTAATGCCTTTCCCTAAAATAAGTAAAGAACCCTCTCTATACTGCACACTAGAGTTCAGATTCTGTGGTGTTTTCTACAGTTTATGAGTGTTCTGCCCTTTAATTAATATAAATTCAAATATAAAATTGAAATCCACAGTGTATTTCTCAATTTGTAATGAATTCCAGCATTCTAAACATTTTACAATGCCAAGATAAATAAACTGAATATTTAATTTGCACATATTTTCTCCACTGGAGTAAACTAGCATTTTCTGTAATAGTTAATTTGTTGTCTTTAAACATTTTTTATGAGGGTAGATGTTGCCTGCATGGGCAAGTGGTTCGAGCATCTGCTCTAGAGTCGCAGAGTGAAGAGTTGATCCTTTCATCACGGGTTCAAATCCACTGTGGGATGTTGAGACCAATCCTTCAGATGAGACCTCACCATATAAACTGAGGTCCTGTGTTGCAGTAGGTGCTGGCATTAAAAAGATCCTTCCCTGCTCAATAGCTTTGAGTGCCGAGTATAGCACAAAATTTGTAGTTCTCCACCGGCAAGTGGTGGCATCTCCATATAAGTGAAAAATCCTAGAGAGGGATGTTAAACTACATGCAATCACTCAATTAGAGGGTAGTTGCCACACACCATATATTGAAAATTAAAAAGCTCAAAAGTTTAGTTAAATTAACCCTTTTATACATTAAACTTTTCTCAATTCAAAACAAATGTGTTTGTAAAAGACTATGCGCCCGTCAATAAAATAGTATGAAAAAGAATTTTTTTAGTGTATAGGTCACAGTCAAGGTCACACAATCATTGGCCTTCATGCCCTTTGAAATCACTTAATTAGTGGAGTATGCTTACCAAATATGAAGTCTCTATCTCCTATGGTTCAAAAGTGATGGCGAAAGTTCCAAAAAAGCTTTTTAGCATATAGGTTTAATACGGTCAATGTCACAAGGTCATTGACCTTGGTATTATTTGAAAGAGCTTAATTTTCAGAGTATGCATACCAAATATAAAGACTCTATCTACTATGGTTCAACAGTAATGACAAAAGTTTTGGAAAAGCTATTTTTAGCATATAGGTCACAATCAAGGTCACAAGGTCATTGACCTTTGTGTTAAGTGAAAGTGCTTAATTAGTGGAGTATGCATACTAAATATAAAGTCTCTGTCTTTAACAGTTCAAAAGATATGGCAAAGTTTAAATTTGACAACACACAAACGGACAAACAGATAGACAGGAAAAAAACAATATAGTCCGGAATCTGTTTCGGGTGCATAAATATATTTTGCACTGGTGTACAGAGGGCCCTTAATATGACATTTGTCCTTGGGTGAGACACAAGTTTAGAGCTGAAGTTTCAATATGAAAAAATAGCTGAACTTTTCTCAAGAACTGTATAAACACAAAAAATCAACCCAATATAAACCCATGCCATTGTTTTTACATTCAAGTGTGTATAATCTCTTGTTATAGGGTGTCAAATAGGGAATAATAAGTTTCACTCTAAAACACAGAAGAAACTCAAAGAATCTATAATTCTTTTTTTTTTCATGAATAATTGGTATTATGTCAAAGTAATCTAGTAATGGCACTCTAATATAATTAATTTCTAATCCAAATCAAAGCCCTAAACAAGCTAAAGTGGTTCAACTTTCTTCAACAAAATATTGGTAACTAGAAATATAACAAGCTCATAAAATTAATACCCCCAACTTGTGCAATTTTTATTAATGTGAACATTTCCATTTTGTAAATGTGACAACTAGTTTACCATAAGACCTTGGTTAAAAGACACATCTTCTGGTCATAAGTAATCTTTTAATGAAATCTGGACACACAATGTGTCTTCATTAGATTGAAAATTATAGATTTATACTTTTAATATCAGTGTCCTTGAATTTGCTGCATTGATCTCAGATCAAGATCAAGACAACCCCAGTTCAAAAAAAAAAAATGTTGGAATTATGATCTTACGTTGATACTCAATAACTAAGCTGTACTATGGACAACATTTATACTTTGCCTGACAGTGACCTTGATTTACCAGAATGACCTTAGGTCAAAGTCAAGACAAACCCTCTGGTCACAATCTTTATACTTAGTATGAACTAATGATCCCCAATTACAAAGTTATATACCCAACAATAATTTTAATCTACCAGACTTGGAACATGCTGGAATGACCTTGAGTAGAGCACATGATATACCCTCATGTCATGAAGAATTTTTGTAGCAAGTCTGAGCTTCCAATGGTCATGATGGTTGTTCCTTACAATGTTAATGACTATACAAGAATTTTGTTTTCTGTAGTGACTTTGAACTTACTGGAAAACATACAAGCTGTACTAAAGTAAATACACAA